AACTTTAGAACAGTATTATGTTTTAAAATTCAATACATGCATGAACAAGGGCTTCCCAGGTGGTGCTAGTGGTAAAGAACCTGCCTGCCAAAGCAGGAGATGCAGGAGAATCAGGTTCAATTCTTGGGTTGGGAAGATTCCCTGGAGTAGGTGGTGGCAACCCACTCTAGGATTCTTGCCTGGAAGATTCCATGGACAGAGGAGCCTGGTGGGCTATAGTAGTTCACGGGGCTGCAAAGAGTCAGACACAACTAAATGACTGAACACAGCACACACACATGCATGAACATAGTATATTTATGCAAATTTGCAGAAATATTGTTGAGTGATTGCACCTTTGATCTTTCCAATCACTGATTTTGCTTCACTGTGAACAGCCATTACTGAAAGGAGATGACATAACCTTAAAGTTAAGAACACAAACTCTGGGGACTTCTCTGCTGGTCCGGTGGGTTAAGACTCCACATTCTCAGTGGAGGAGGCACAGGTTTGATCCCTGGTCAGGGAACTAAGATCACTTGCCCCTTGATACAACAGCAACAAACACACACACAAACTCTGAAGGCGACCTGCCTGAGTTCAAATCCTGATTTTATCAACTACAGTCTATTAGGTAAGTTCTTTAGCTTCTTTGTGCCTTAGCTTTCCCATCGGTATATGGGCTGATAAATTTTGAGGATTAAATTAATTCATATATACAAAGCTCAGGCTTCCCAGGTGGCGCTAGTGGTAGAAAAATAAAATAAAATAAAATCCTTCTGCCAAAGCAGGAAACACAGGCGACCTGGGTTCAGTCCCTGGGTTGGGAATATCCCGTGGAGTGGGAAATGGCAACCGACTCTAGTATTCTTGCCTGGAACATTCCATGGACAGAAGAGCCTGGTGGCTATAATCCATGGGGTTGCAAAGAGTCAGACATGACTGAGTGGGCACACACACAGTGCTCAAATACAAAGTACCAGAGTAGTCAAGTTAAAAGTACTTTATCACTAGTATTTTAACATACAGTTTTTAAAATTAAGTGTTCATATATTCAGGGAAATTGGGTGGTCCTAAGAATTTTCTGTACTATCTTTGCAACATCCCGTGAATCTGTCGATAAAATTATTTCAAAGTAAAAGTTTTTAAAACGTTGCTTAAAAAAAGCAATTGATGTAAAAGACGGTCAAGACAATGTTAACGGAAAAAAAACCAAGATGCATAGCAATCCCTATTTTGTGTAGAAAAATGGGAAGGGGAATAAGTATATATTTGCTTATGTAAAATGAAATTCTAGAAGAGCACATTAGGAATAAATAACAGTGGCTACGAGGGAAGTGGGCAAATGGACTTTAATTTGAAATGAAGCGACCGTTTCCCAAAGATTATTTTAAAATAAGAGCAGTAACAATAATCACAAATAACATGTCTATCAAAGCATAAAAGCATTTCCATTTGCAACAAGTTGAATAACACCAACTTGACAAATTAAAAGTACAATGATGAGGTATTCTTCCAGTGGGCTCATTTGCACTCAACATGCTAACATTAAAAGATTCTTAGTTTTTTTCCTTGGTTTCAGGTTTTTTTATTATTAATTTTTACTGGAGTGTAGTTGCTTTACAATGTTCTTAGTTTCTCTGTACAGCAAATGGATCAGCTGTATGTTCGATCCCCTTTTTTGGATTTCCTTCCCACTTAGGTCACTACTGATGCATGAGCAGAGTTCCCTGAACTATACAGTAGGTTCTCATTAGCTCTCTATTTTATACACAGTATCAATCATTCCTTACTTTTTGAAGTGAGTTGAAGTCATTCTTTCGGCTTCAGCTACACAAGGGCTTTGGAGTTGACAGTTGGAATGTAGACTTGGTGAAAATCTAATGACACTTCTAATTGGAAGCTTCTGCATCGAGGAAGATAGCTTAAGGAGACTCTAGCGTGAGGAGCGCATGTTAAAGACTTCCCTGGGTGGCCCAGTGGTTAGGACTTCGGCTTTCACTGCGGGGGGGCCCGGTTTCGTTCCTTGTTGGGGGGACTTAGGTTTTTGCAGGCCTTGGGGCCCGGCCAAAAAGGAGAAAAGAAAAAAATAGAAGTAACAGCAAATGTTATCAATCCTGGGCCTTGACGGAATTATTTCTAGAGAAGGGACAACTACATACAAAGTCTGGACTTAGCTAGCTAGTGGCTTCCCTGATAGCTCAGTTGGTAAAGAATCCATCTGCAATGCAGGAGACCCTGGTTCGATTCTGGGTTGAAAGTTCTGCTGGAGAAGGAATAGGCTACCCACTCCAGTATTCTTGGGTTTCTCTTGTGGCTCAACTGGTAAAGAATCCGTCTGCAATGAGGGAGACCAGGGTTTGATCCCTGAGTTGGGAAGATCCCCTGGAGAAGGGAAAGGCTACCCACTCCAGTATTTTGGCCTGGAGAATTCCACGGACTATACAGTCCATGGGGTCGCAAAGAGTAGGACAAGACTGAGCGACTTTCACTCTCTGGAAGAGGAGAGGAACATACAGACATATCTACAAGTGTACCCATCCACATTCCAGCACAGCCTCTATATCCCAACAAGGGATGCCAAACTAGATAGTAGGATGCTGTAGGGACCAGTGAATAAATTCTCCAAAATCTCTTGATACTTCTGTAAGTTCCATCTCAACTCCGTAAATGTCTTTTTAGCAACTTAAGGAAAATTATGCTAGATGCTATGATAAATAACACTTACATCTCAGTGGCATAAAGATTTTTTTAACTATCACAGTTCAACGTGAACTGAAACTTGGGGGAAAACTTCTCCACAAAGTCATGTAGGAATCCAGGCTCTTATTTTAAAACTTTTATTTCTTTAGTTGCACAGGATCTTAATTGTGGCAAGCAGGATCTTCCATCTTTGCTGTGGCTTGCAGGATCTAGTTCCCCACCAGGAATTGAACTCAGGTACCCTGCATTGGGAGTGCAATCTTTAGCCACTGGTCCACCAGGAAAGTCCCAGAATCCAGGCTTTAAGAGCCAACATAGGACGTCCAGGTCATTCTGGAAATTGATATCCAATCAGCGCACGGGAAACGAGTGGAGACTCAAACCGAATGTAACCCCAGCAAGAGTTTTTTTTGAAGTTGGGAGTTATGTTTTATTTGGTGGGAATTTTTAGGACTTTAAGCCAGGGAGACAGCATCTCAAGTGACGCTGAGAGAACTGCTCCCAGAGGAGAGGGGAGGAGCCAGGTCATACAGAAGTTTTTCGACAAAGGGCAGATAGTCTGAACATCAAAAGGTAGTTAGGTTTAGTCACTCAGTTGTGTCTGACTCCGTCTCCAAGGAATGTAGCCCACCAGGCTCCTCTGTCCATGGGATTTCCCAGGCAAGAATACTGGCATGGGTTGCCATTTCCTCCTCCAAAGAAGTATTTTTTTCTTCCCTATGTCACTGGCCAGAATTCAATCACCTAGCTGCAGGGGAGGCTGGGAAATGTAGTTTAACTGTACATCTCAGAAAAAAATTTTTTTAATAATTTAGTGAGTATATATCATTATCTCTGCACAAGCAGCTACTAGTATCATATTCTCCTCCTTTAAAGCTATCATTTCCTGTTTCTCACTGACCTTCACAGTAATCCTTGAGTTGCATGGTTATTATTCCCAATCAATAAGGAAAATGCACTTCAAAGAAGACTTGGCTGACCTGACTAAATGGATACTAAAAAAATGAAGCAGAATCCGAAACCCAAGTCTTCCCACAGTGCCACACCTCTCATCCAAACCAAAGGAGACACAACTTGCTCCAGTACTCAAATCCATCAGACCTTCAGTAAATTAGTAGCTTATGCTTATAGCTTTCTTATATAGCTTATTTCCAAAAAAAAAAAAAAAAGTTCATCATCAACTTATTTTACAAGCAGTTGTAAAGTTATAAGGTCTATGTGATAAAATTTTAATGGAGAAAAATTTTAATGGAAATATATTTGGGAGAATAACAAAACTGATAATTAACTCTGGACAAATTTCAGACATTACTTTTTAAAAAAATCGCCTCTCCCTCTTCTTTCTTCTGGAACTCCAATCAGATGTATATTGAATTTTATCCTATCATCTACTTATCTCTTAAATTCTCAGATATTTTCTTTGTTACTTTCTGTTAATATCTTCATATATATTTTCCACTTTGTTAATTCCATCTGTGGCTCTTGTCAAATCTACTCTTTAATCTGTCCAATGACATAATTTATATTCATGTCCAGATGTTCAAATAGGTTTGTTTACAAGTCTCCTTCTTGATGGTTTAATCTTCTTTATATGACCTTTTTTTTTTTTTACATTTGAGTCATTTCCTGCTCATTGTGTGAATAGGCCCCGGGCTGGTGAATGTGAAGTTTCTGTGCTCNGTCATTTCCTAGGCAGGTTGATAAGAAATCTAGGGGTCCCCAAGGAGAGAGGGGTTTGGAATTCTCAAAGACGAGGAAAGGACAAACTTTTTCCCCTCTACATTCCTTAGGATTATATAACAATAATGTATCCTGCTTGAGGACAGTTTCTGGAAAAAAACTTCTGGCTAATGCTGTTATCTTAAAATGTACATTATGGGAGTGGGTCTAGTAAGGTCTTGACAACCTCCAGACATTCTTTTGATTCACTGTAATAAGTAATTAAAAAGTATATAACTCCATTGCTAACACTAGTGAGGGGGTACTCTTTCTGCCCCTTCTGATGTCTATGTCAGAAGCTTTCTCTATCTCTTTTATACTTTAATAAAACTCTATTATACAAAAGCTCTGAGCGATCAAGCCTCACTTCTGGTCCCGGATTGAATTCTTCTCCTCTGGAGGCCAAGAATCCCGGCATCTTCCGTGGTTGAGCAACAACCTTTCACCCTCACATTTAATCCACTGAATGGGTGGAAGGAGAAGCCCTCAATCCTATGCTTGTAATTCTATAAAAGTATCAGCAAGCAATGGAAAGTAACACCCACTGGCAAATGGAGGCAGATGTGTTTTTGAGGAATGCATTAGAGATGAAGCCCTTCTTTTAAAATTTGCCTTTTTATTGTTGTCAAGGTAACACAATTCGGGGAGAGAAATAAAAGAGACTACCTAAACAAATAAAACTATTACATAAGCTGATTTAAAAAAATAGGATCAGTAGCACAGGTTTGGGGGGATTCAATTTTTATTAAATCAAGCTTTGAAATCATATCCACCTACAGTCTGTAAACAAACAAAGTACATGTGTAGGTAAAAGGCTCTTAGATTAGAGCTAGTGGAAGAAATGGAAGATTCCTTGGTACAGTGGCATCTCACTACTCCCTGGGCTGATGCCATGGGGCCACATGATAGCTAAGACTTAAATAAAAAACCAGGAGTTTAGCTCAATTCCACCTGCTAGGATGGGTTTCAAGACGGACATTGTTCCACATTATAGTAGGCTGGATTATCACAAGGCAACAGTGTAGTTTTTACATTCACAGATTTGGCTGAAACAGTATAAATTAAGCTTCTTTTCTAGATGTCTCCCTCCCCAATTACCATAATTAGTAGTAAGAAAGGTGAATTAAAATAAATGATGGATCACAGGTGGTTATAAAAATAGATAACTCGTAGAGTAATAAATATCTACAGTTAGCAAAGCATAAACTTATATAAAATTTACCTTTTTCTATATGTGCAGAATATCATAAGTATGTTCAAAAGGTACAGTCAGAAGACTTCAGAAGGGTGAGAAGGCATTTATAAAGGAAAAAAACACTCAAGTACAAAACCCAGAGATGGAAGCTGAATGCAGATGAAGAATATACACAAGACAAAAATCCGAATCCTCACATCTGATGATGCTATTTGACAGACACCACAATTAGCTTACAGCCCTTTATGTATCTTAAAAAGTAACTTTGTTACTTATGTACAAACTCTTAAAAAGATTAATTATGAGACAAGCAAAAACTGATTAACAGTGGCACTAAAATCGATGAAACATAGCATTTTGTGTGCTTTCATATTCTTCTATGTATAGGAGTTTTTAAAATTCCCACAAAAAATCTAGTTTACAATCATTCCAGGTATAGAAGGGAAAAATCCCAAGCTGAAAATAAAAAAGTCATAATCTCAAAGTGACTGAAAATCCATGAATATGTAAGAGACATTCATACATTTTCTTAACACTCATCCACTACTATGTAAGGTAACCGCAGTGCTCTCTTGAAACCGATCACATTTACAAAGATACAGTCATTTCCGTTCTAATTCTAGAATTAAAAGCACTTAGTCCACACAGTGTGCGTTTCAGCGAAGTTGACATCCACTTGGCTGTACCTGAAAGTGTCGCCTTAAAGCTTCAGCAAAGATTGTGGCAGACCTGAATTTTAATTTTATATAAAGGTGCGGAATGAACAATACCACAGGCAGCCATTCATTCTCATTTCTTGCAGAGAGTGAAGCATACTTGTGCTGTCCTATGGGTACCTCAGCCTGGAATAGTGTTCCTTGGAAACTCTGGTAAATTTCCTTGCCAAAAAAAAAAAAAATCTCCATAATCTGTCTGGGACTTGCTGGGTTAAGTAAGCACGTTCCATGAACACACAGTCTACCCCTTCAGGAGGGGTGTACGGAGGGCTTTTCCCAAACTCACTGGATCTTGCCAGGCAACAGCAGGACCAGTACTGGATCCTGGGACACTGGCTTCCTATGGAACATGGTTTGAGAAATGCTAATCTAAATAATACATTTTCTACAGTAGTGGTTCTCAGACAGTAGTGAGCATTGAAACACATGGAAGGCATGTCAAAGCAGAGATACAAGACCCCACTTCAGGGGCTGGGGTCGGGGAGGGACCTGGGAACCTATGTTCTAAGAGACTCCAAGTGGAGCGAATGGAGTGAGGTCCACACTGAGTGCCATCCTCCTAGACAAGGACCCATGCAAGCCTCAACTGCAGAAAGCTGCCCACACCTCAAGAAAGCCTGGGGACAGCATTTGCTACGACCAGTCAGTGGGAGTTCAAAGGCCAGTGACGACCGAGAGTCTCTGGATCTGGCCCTTCTCATCAGATGACCAGGCACGGAGGCTGGACCTTAGAGGAATAACAGCTGCCCCCTTTCAGGGGATCTGTGAGGCTTACAGGAAATGTGTGAACGGAAGTACAACCTGACAAAAAGCATCATACAATGGTCGCTAATCAGAAGAACACAGCAGGAACATTCCAGGTAGGTTTTCTGCCTTCTGCCACTGCTGTGCCTTTGCCAAAGTACATTCTGGTAGCTAACGAAGAGAAAAGAGGCTAAAAGTGCAGAAAACTGCAATGAGTGGAATATACAGATGAGTGGATTACCTAATTAAAATATGTAATTACTTTAAAAAAAAGATCAACCCACAATTGAAGTAGTTAATTACACTGGCTCTCAGATAGTGCTTAAGTTACAGTATGTTGATCTTTGAACCCCCTCACTCATCTACTCTGCCATGTTAATGCTTGTTACATTTTAACCTTGAGAATGAGAAAAAAAAAATCCTTCAGTGAAACTCAAAACTTTAGCTATGATAGTTCCACATCTTGTAAGCTACCACGGTGGGAAAATTTCAAAAGTGATTTTTTAAAAAGGGCCTTTAATTTTGGTTCATAGAAACATCCATACAATGAGAAAGGAACACACACTCACATGGTCACATATGTGCGTCTAGATGTTGCCCAGTAACATCTGAGCCAGTGAACTTCATCTTGCAATTCAAAAGTGGACCTGGTAAGAATTCATACTCATCCATGACGGGATGACAGTCAAGCATACATCTCTGTTGCCAAGTCCTGCTTTCCACCCATCTAAGTGTCTGATACGAAAGGCAGGCCGTTTCCTGATAGGTTGCATGATTCACTCTATATATGCTCTGGATGGCTCTGGAGACAAGACAACATCTCTTGAACGGGCCGGCCTTCATAGCAGATCTGGTACACGGCAGTGAACAACGGGAACCTGGTTGGGGGAGGGGGGATGGGAAAAGACAAGTTAAGCCATCTGGTCTACCTCATAGATCCAACCTGTCTTTCTGTCCTAACAGACTGCAGACTAGCATGCTACTATTGGAAAACAAAGCGCCCTCCTTCACATCCCTTCCTTGTGTGGTCTGCAGGGAGCCTCTACACCGTGGCTATAAGAACCTGGTACAACCCAAACCATCCTCTGGTTCCTTGGAGTGTGCTGTCTACAGACCCGTCCCAGGGTACTCTTTACAGGGTGATCTGTGGTCGCCAACATCAAGAGTTGTGGCTCAGGCTCTTGGCCAAATCTGGAAGGGATTCAGGTTTATGTCACTATTTTAAAAGGCTGGAGAATAAATTTTAAATTGTAGGGAGGCACTGCTCTAGCTTCTCTAAAACGAATCATCCAAGGATGAAGACAAGGCAGCCCACACAGCACCATAGACAATGGAGGCCTGGAACACTCTCACAAGAATCAACAAGGGGACTCACGATTAGCAAAATGCTGATCTCACGTGGGAAGCAGAATTTATTCTGCTGCTGCTTCTAAGATGCGAACACGGGTATAAATGACAGTTTGAAATGGATGAGGGAATGAAGGAGTGGGCTACTAACCACTATAAAAAAAGGTGACATTATCCCAGGGTACTGCTAGCTCACTCAGTAAGTATTTATTTTTTTTTAATGCAGAAATCACTAAGGAAATATCTAAGTAATGTCAACCGGCTTTCAAACCCATACACATTGCCTAAAGTGAGCTTGAAAGAATCACAAGAATCTTAAAAACCATTCTGAAAGTTATCTAGTTAAGCATTCTACAGTGATAACATGACTTAAGAACAGGAAATAATGCTGATAGATTACATGTCTTTATGACAGTCTGTCATTGTGGGTTTTTGAAGATGCAGAAAGTTCTAGCATTTTTCAGAGTCAGCTAGACTTAATAAAATCTGATTTCACAGCCTATTAACTTTGGGCAAGCTTCACAACCCCTCTGTCCCTTTGCTCGTCTGCAGATTGGAATGGACACTCAGGATTGTTGTATTAAGTGACTTAATGTGTGAAGTACAAAATAGGACACTTGATATATGATGTGTGTAATAAATAGTAGCTTGTAAATGCAGCCACATTGCAGCCAAGGGTTCTAGACTATCCGAGAGGACAGGGCCCAAGCCTAGTTTTGCTCACCTCTGCATCAAAATGGCGTGGCCCAGTGCAGGCAAGAGGCAGGTGCTTAGTGAGTGGGTGTCGAATGAATTCTTGTGAATGGGAGTTAATACCAGGAGATTTTAACTCCTTCCTTTGTCCTTCCATGACTTAATTTTCCTGTTTCTATGATGAGAACAATTTGTATGTTCCTCAAGCAGAGTGGCACGTGATGAGTGCCACCCAAAGCCATTCCCAACACCCTTCTCTCCTTACTGAGGTTGGAAATACCCTATCTCAGCCTTTCTTTCACACCAGAATTGGCCAAGTAAGCAAGTTCTAGCTAGCAAGACAGAATACATCTGGGAGGGTTTCTGCGGAAGATCTTTCTCTCCTTGAGAGGCACTGGACAAAAATATCTGCTAGACTATCCTTGCACCATGCTGCTGAGTGCAGTTGTGAGTATGTGATGCCTGGAGCTGTTGCAGCTATGTTGAGGCTTTAAGGAAAGGCCAACAGGATCACTAAGATTCTAACCCAGAGACACTGAGACAACGCCAATAATCCACCTCTGGAATCTGTTATGTGAGAAAAATAACCATATTGTTCAAGGTGTTTTAATTGGCTGTTACTCATGAAGCCAAAAGTACTCCCAATTTTCACAACTAGCGTTTTCAAAATGTGTTCTGCAGATGAGATGATGACAAGTGATACAGGGTAGGGGGGGAACATTTCTATTGACAAGTAACTTGTTTAACCCTCACAACCACACTATAAGGTAGATAATATTATCCCTATTCTATGTATGAAACTGAGGCACAGTTTCTGACTTTTGCAGCTAACACTAAACCATTAGGCTATAATGCCCATCTAAATGCTATTTTCTATTGTTTAAAATGTTATGGGCTTTCCTGGTGGTCCAGTGGTTAAGAATCTACCTTGCGGTGTAAGGGACACCAGTTCATTCCCTGGTCTGGAAGGATCCCACATGCACCACAACTCTGGAGCCAGCACTCTAGAGCCTTGAGTGACAGCTACTGAGCCCAAGTGCTCCACTACTGATGCCCATGCCCCTAAAACCTGTGCTCTGCAACAAGAGACGCCCCCACAGTGACCAGCCCAGCACCCCAGTGAAGAGTGCCCCTGTCTGCAACAACTAGAAAAAGGCTGCACGTGGCAGTGAAGCCCCACCGCAGCTCAAACATAAAACCTTTCTTTTCTTTTTTTTCTTAAAATCTTTCTTTCAGAAAAGGACTTATTTCAGGACCACATGACATCCAAAAATAAAAGATTATCAAGCCAATTAGATCAGTTTGAGGAGCTCTCTAAAGAAGGTGAAAAAGTGAAAGGAGGACATGGAAACCATTAGCAGAATGAAGACAGCCTACCGGATGGGAGAACATATTTGCAAATGAAATGACTAGCTCATACAACTCACTATCAACAAACAAACAACATGATTAAAAAATGGGCATAAGAACAGAATAGATATTCTTCNGTTTTTGCCCCACCTGCAAGCTAAGAATGATTTTTACATTTTTAAAGGGCTGTAAAAGGAAACAGACTACATAAGCAGAGGCCTGTGTGTGGTCTACAAAGGTGAAATTTTGTTATGTGATTCTCTGGACAAAAAGTTGGCTGACCGCTGCTCTAAACAGTAATTTCAAAGCACGGGAAGTGATGTAAGTCTACAGGATATGGAAAAGGTTCTCTGAGGACATACCCAGGCTGCCTCATGGGCCATGATGGTTGAGATGCTCATGAGGGGGTGTCCAGGCAGGTCAAACTGCCAGGCAAACGCACACAGGAGTCTGAGAAAGAGGCGCTTGGGGCAGGGGAGGTCTACTTCCACTAAACAGGGCTCACAGGACATGCTGTTAGAAGCCAAGTTGGTAACTGGACTGAGACACCAACATAAGGCCTGTGGACCTCATTCTCAAAGAACAGGAGGTCTCTGAGTTAGAGGTAACCATGGCAGTCATCTGGTCTACCAGTTTGAGTTTCTGGCTAAAAGGGCACAGAACAGCTAAAAACATGACCTGCCCAAGACCACGCAGCTGGTGAGCCACAAGGCCACTGGCCTCCCCCTCAATACTCTTTCTACAGCAGGAAAGGGAGGAGGAAGAAATGAAGGAAGACCAGGGTGATGATGGCTGGAACGGCAGAGAAAGAAATGCGGGTAAGAGGTGGCGCCAAGTGAGAATGGCAGGACTTCAGCTCTGCCTGAACCACTGAGGGACTCAACATGCAGCCTGCAAGAAGGGCAGGGACCCCAACCCAGCTGCGACCTCATTCAACATAGGCACGACATGGTCCACTTCTCAGTTCAGTTCAGTCGCTCAGTCGTGTCCTACTCTTTGTGACCCCATGAGCCGCAGCACGCCAGGCCTCCCTGTTCTTCACCAACTTCTATCAGTTAGAAGGTCCACTTCTAATCAGAAGGAAATGGGACATGACTAGGGAGAGGCAGGTTTCTCCTGCTTGGCCACATGTGCTTTTAAACAGGCAGGTACTGATCCCAGAACAGCTGTTCCAGCCTGTATCCCCCTGCAGTCAGAGGGCCCACACAGACTCACACTGCCAACAAGTCAATTCAGAATCCTAGCAAAGGACTGGACCCGAGCCTATCCGTGTGCTATCCTGGGGTCCTAGGGTCCAGTCTTGGTTGCACATAGATGGTACTTTTTTTTTTTAAAGCAGAGTATGGATGGGTACACCTGAAAGGCGAGGAGACTCGAAGGTTCCTCATCACACCTTAACACAGGGCACCTCTGGGGCTAGAGTCCTACGGGGACTTGTCCTTCCTTTTTTCCCTGAATTGCTTGACATTTCCTTAACAAGTTATCTTTTTATCAAAAGGACAAAGTAACCTTTTTTTTAAATTTTTAATTAAAAATATATGACACATTGCTTTAACTCATGTTAAGTCATGCGTTAAGTCATGCTGACCCTTTTGAGACTCCATGGACTGTAGCTCGCCAGGCTTCTCTGTCCATTGTTTCCTGGCAAGAATACTGGAGTGGGTTGCCATTTCCTACTCCAGGGGATTTTCCCCACCCAGGGATCAAACCAGGTCTCCTGCTTGGCAGCTGGATTCTTTACCACTGAGCCACCTGGAAAGCCCGTGTAACTCTTACCAAATACTCCACAGGGCAAGCCAGAATCTCAAACTCCTATTTTGTCTTGGGTTGGCCAAAATGTTCGCTGGGGATTTTCCGCTTATGGGAAAACCCGAGTGAACTTTTTCGCCAACCTGATAGTGTGCCTAACAGGGCTCATTTCCCCTCCCTCATTTCGGATTTTGGGTAGATGCTCGTTGTCAGGGCAGGCAGACGTTTCCTGCCGTAGACCCTCACAACAGACGAAGGATGGCACTGCTCTGCTAACTTCCTGCCCATGCCTGGCAGACGCCTGAGTCAAGCACTGACCGTGCACATTAGCAAGCGCAATGCCAGCTGATCCTCTGGCCTCGCGGAAAACGGGGCACTTACTTGTTGAGCAGCCCCTTCTGTTTGAGGATGCGGTACACCTCGGCTGAAGTCTGAGGTCCTTGCAGCTTCTGCCCATTCAGCATCTCCTTCTCCAGTTCTTCGATGGTCTTAAAAACAATGGATGAACATAATCTCCTGTAACATCTAGAGCATCACTTTAAAAAAATTTTTTGGCGGTGCCGCATGGCATGTGGCATCTTAGTTCCCCAACCAGAGATCTACCCCAAGCCCTCTGCAATGGAAGCTGGAGTCGTAACCACTGGAATGTCAGGAAAGGCCCTAAAGCTCACTTATTTTAAAAGCAGGGGAGGGGGAGGGGAGCAGCAGGCCAAGGAAAGGTAAGAACACGCAAGGCAGAGGTGGTAGGACCGAAGCGCTGGCTAGTGAAGGCAGGTGGCGTAGGCAGGACCAGCCCGGCACACACAACCTCCGTGCCCTGGACAGCGGCTCTTCCCCAGCCCGGGACACCCCCCGCCCCCCAGCCCGGGATTACCTTGCCGGTCCTGGCAAAGGCCTCGGCCACCTTGCGGTTCCGGCCCCCGTAGCAGGTGGTGATGAGATCGGCCACGCCGCAGCTCTCCAGGAACGTGGCCGTAGACACCTGGCCTTTGCAGAAGATCCGGGCGAAGGCGATCATCTCCATGAGCCCCAGGCGGATGACGGCAGCTTTTGTGTTATCGCCGCAGAGGAGGCCGTCACAGAACCCGGCGCCTACGGCCACGATGTTCTGGGGAGGAGGCAAGAAGCCTGGAGATGCGGTCCTTCACACGCACACTGTGGGAAAGCGTGCGGGGGAGGCGGGGCGGAGCAGAGGCAGGGAGGCTGGCTGGCTTCTCCCGTCCCGCAGGACCCAGGGTTCTACTCTGGTCCTCTGAGAGAGAGAAGGAAGGAGGGACCAGCTCCCATTCATGGGGCAAACAGCCCAGAGGACTCTGGAACCTGGACTCAGAGGGAAGCATCCGCCAGAGAAAGGGCACGGCGCAGAGGCATCTCCACTTAAATACTGTTTGTACAGACTTTCTTCCCTTTTTTTTTTTAAATAAATCAAAGGCTTTATCCAACTATAACACTGACAGAAAAGTGGTCAAGTCATAAGTGCAGGACTTGATGAAGTTTCACAAATGACACTCTCATGTAACCAGCACCCTGATCAAGGAACAGAAGGTAACCGGTGCCCCAGAAAGCCCCTTTCAGCACCCCCCACCCAGTCACCCCGGCACCAAAGGTTACTGCTCTCCTGACTTCTAATGGCACACATTTACTTTCCCTGTCTTGGCACTATGTGAGTAGAATCATACAGGATATAATCCTTTGTGTCATCTTCTCTGTCTCGATTCCACATCACATCTGTGAGATTCAGCTGTACTTTAGTGCAGGACACGTTTATATCCATTGCTGCACTGTATCCCACTATGCAAAAACAATGCAATTCACCCCTTCGGGTGGTTGGCACTGGGTTAGTTTCCAGTTTGGAGCCACTGCAAATAACTCTGCTTTGACACTAGGTAGGTGGCCTCTGGTGATCCCAGGTCGGCACTTCTGTTGTGAGCATTCTTGGTGTAGAAGTACTGGTTAATGATGGATGCATATGTGTAGATCAAGTTTCTGCCTTTTGTTCCATTTGATAATCTCTAAATTAGCATTTGCGAAGTGCTGGCTTATTGTGTGGCTCTCTGCTGGACACCAGGCAGCTCGGACACAGACCTACCTCTTCAGGAGCTGATCGCCTAGTTCGGGGACCAGCAATTTGGGGCCAATTGCTTCCCGGCTTTTTTTTAGTTCCCCTTTTGTTTGGAACTTCGGCCCCCCTTTCGTTACGTTTTTTTTTTTGGTTGCTTTTTTGTTGCCATTGGTTTTGATTGTTGTGCACAGACCCATAAGGTCTGCAAGATCCACATTTTCTATGAGGCTCTTCTGGAAAAAGTTACCCACCTCCGACTTAACAGGAAAATAAAATGCGTGCACAAATGCTGCCCACACGGTCTCATCTGAATTCTCACTGGCAACCCCAGCAAGCGTGTGTCTGCCCCCTTAGCTGGTTCAGATGGGAAAGGATCCACCTGCAATGCAGGAGAGATGGGTCTGATCCCTAGGTTGGGACGATCCCCTAGAGAAGGGACTGGCAACCCACTCCAGTAGTCTTGCCTGGAGAATCCCACGGACAGAGGAGCCTGGTGGGCTGCAGCCCATAGGGTTGCAAAGAGTCTGACACAACTGAGTGACTAACACTTCACTTTAGCTGGTTCACAGACAGGGTCAACGGCTTGCCAAGAACATCCCTCTGGTGACTGACATAGTCGGGACATGCCCCCAGGACCTGGCTCCACAAGCCCACTGTTCCCCCTACTCTGCTCCTTCCACGGTGTGGCCACCGTGGTCTGGCCATTCCCACCCATCTTGGGGTCCGAGAGACCTTCCTGAGACACCCCTGCAATCAGATATCAAAGAGAACTGCCCCCTGGGAATTCCCTGACGGTCCAGTGGTCAGGACTTGGTGCTGTCCCTGCTGGGGCCTGGGTTCAGTTCCCCATTGGAGAACTAAGATCTTGCATGCTGTGTGGCAGGACTGAAAAAAATAAAAGTATTTAAAAAAACAAAAAAGAGGACTGCCTCCCAGGCCTGCCGAGAGACTTGGGAGGTAAAAGGGAGAGGCCTGGGAGGACAAAAGATTTATGGGAAAGAATAGTAAAAATAACAGCTTCCGTTACGGAACTGTTTCTAAGTGCTTCCTACATTATTAACTCCCTTAATCTTCACAACATTCCTACCAGGCAGGTTCTGCTACTATGTATAGCGTGAGGGGAGGACTCTTGGGCACGTGGGGTAAGCAGCTCGCCCAAGGTCCCAGTCAGGAGCTGGGTTTCGAACCCTGACAGCCTGGCTCCACCATCTCTCCTGGGAGCAGATCACACGAGGCTGCTCCAGCCAGCGACTGGAACACAAAGAGGGGCTGGGACAGCAAGACCTGAACTTTCTAACAGGAAGGGCTGACCCCAGTCAAGAGAGAATACTGAGGTGAAGGGGTGAGCTCTTGGTCGCTGGAGGCATCCAAGGAGGAGCCGTAGGGATGAGCCCTTAGCTGCCAAGCAGTGCTTCTGACCTGTGTCACTGCTCCGAGAAAAGGCAGAGGAGAGTGCCCCCCACCGTGGTCTGGGGGCACACAGGTAGCGACCAGTTCCCAGTTTCCCCGGACATCCGACCTCCCCACCTCGGGGAGCAGCGGGCCACTGCAGACTCAAGCCCGCCCTCCTCAGGGGACCCAGGGCCAGTTTAATCACCTTAAGATGGATCTTGAAATCTTCCCTCTCTCCCCTACCACTTATCACTGTCAAAAGAAAAATAAACACACTGAGGCAGTCAGATAGTGAGTGAATAGCACCCAAGCAGATGTCCTCTGAGATCGCTCAGCTGTGAAATTTATCATTATCCGCCGTGCATTCAAATCTGCTTTAAACTATTCTGGAGCTAAAAATACCATGACTTTCAGAAGACAGACGTGCTGAAGCCCTGGCCCATTTCCCGGGTGGTGGCAACACTCAGAGACACCCTTCCCGACGTGTTGTCTTTGCAATCTTGCATCACAGCGAGTCGACGGGGCTCACGGTCTTTCGTTCCCACCCAAACTGTAAAACTGGAGTAGCAGCCCATGCTACCTGCAGGTTATGCACACACTCCTACCGCCTCAGAAGAACTGTCCCACTGAAACCCAAGTCAGAATTTTCTGAATGCATCTGACTCTTCCCAAGGCCACCTTCAAGTGCATCCAACCTAGAGGAAACCTGCAGAGTGGAGGCTATCTAACTGCAAGCAAGGTGCCACCTGTGGTTTGTAGGTCAAGCCCTGAGTAAGGTCACCCATCTGAGATGTCCAGGAGGTCCAAGGTCAAGTCCACACTCAGCCCCACAGGTTGGGCACCCTGACCAGATGTACATGTTTGATATCTGCTCGTCCAACAGAGTGGCCACTAGACCTTGAAACTCACGAAAGACTCATGTGACTACTGAGTCTGAAATGGTGCTACTGTGACTCTGAAACGGAATTTTGAATTTTTTTAAAGTTTTAGATAACTTGCATGTAAATGAAAACAGCCACATATGCTACTGGGTTCTAGCTGGAGCCCTGGCTAGAGACTAGGTACCAGACTGCGACCCACAGCACATTCATCACAGCCACATCACATTCCTGGCCTGGAGGAAACCCACACAGCCTACAACTAGGGTGGCGAGCCTCAGCACAGACAGCCCTGCAGAGAAGAACATGCATCTGTGGCAGAGGTGATGGGTGTCTCTCCCCAAATACTCTCCTGTTTTAGAGCCTGAGTCCCTGACTTTCACGCAAGTGTATTTTCCCAGGGGGGGTGGAAAAATTCTCAACTTCCCTTGCAGCAGGGAGTACAATTAAGTACTAACTGCCTATTAAGATGAAGCCAGGGACTTCCCTGGCAGTCAGTGGTTATTAAGACTCTGTCTTCCTTTGCAGGGGGTGTGGGTTCAATCCCTGGTCAGGGAGCTAAGATTCCACATGCCACAGGGTATGGCCAAAAAAATTAAAAATAAAGACAAATGTTACACTGCAACTCCCCAGAATGCCTTAAAAGACAGCTGCCACAAACCCTTTGTCTTTCTTTTTTCATCCTGTTGCCTGGAAGGCAGATGTGATGGTTGGAGCCCTGGTCACCATCTTAGAACATGAGGACAAGGGTCATCTCTCATGAGCTGGAGGGAGCCTGGGTCCCTGAGAATTTTGTGGAGTGGAATTTTCATATGGAATTAGGATTTCTGCACAAGAAAGAAAGTTCTACCTGGTTCAGCCCCTATTATTTTGGGTCTCTGTTAATGAAACAATCTTGATTAACCATTTATTAAAAATAACAGGTTGAGCTAAATACTTATATGACTTTTATACTTTTCTGTATGAAGAACATCTTAAAATTTACATTAAAAAATACACCCAAGGGAAAGAAGCCAGACACAGAGTACATACTACATACATGTATTATAAACATTCTACAGTGAACAAAAGCAGATGGGTGACTGCTGGTTTGGGAAGGAGGAGTAAAGTGTAAAGACTTACGGAGTTGCCTGGGGTGATGAAATGTTCTGTATTGGAGTGATGATGTCCAGGGTGTATATAACCAACTGTTAAAACCTATTGTATCATATATTTAATCAACACAGTACATGGATTATGCTTAAATAAGTTCAGTTCAGTCATGTCTGACTCTTTGAGACCCCATGGACTGCAGGACGCCAGGGCTCCCTAAATAAAGGTGATATTTAAAAAAGAATACTCACTCACTGATTAAGAGATTAAAGTAGCTAAGAGATGAAGGACATTCTGAAGGGTGTAAGATGCACTGGTATGAAATGATTTTGTATAATTCCTTTGAATGTTTCTTTTCTTTCAACATTGTAGGGAGCTGCTAACTTTCGTTCTCCCCTTCCCCCACCACCACCTCGCCCTTTTTTTTTGTTTTTCTTTTTTGGTAACTCAAATGCCCTCACGTTTTTGAGCATGAAAAAAGTGTACTTTAAAAACTTTTTAGAATACAGAAGATGACTAAAGATTGTTAATGTGAAAAAAGTAAAACATCCAAAAAGGAATGATTATATGTGTATAACTGACTCACTTTGCTATTTAGTAGAAATAAACACAACACTGTAAACCAACTATACTTCAAAAAAATTTTTTTAAAAGGTAAAACATAAACTACTTGAACAGTAAGATGCACTTTTTGTTTGAAAAGGGGGACATGCACATACCTATGCTTGCTAAAAAGCCTGGAAGGGCAGACAACAAGCATTAACAGTGATTATCTCAGGATGCAGAGATCATCAGTCATTTTCACTTTCTTCTCTACACCTCTTTATAGTATGAAGCTATCTTTTATAATCATGAAGAAAACAAAACTATTAATTATGTAATCAAGGAAAAATAGGCCCATTTGCCCTTGCTGGGCAGGCTGTAGCAAGAGAGGATTTCGTTTCATTCAATGGCCTGGACACCAACGAGAAAAGTCAGGTCATCCAGAGTAACCAAGGAACCCCGGACAGACTCTTCAAACCCACGTTCACGTTCTGAGCGAGCTAGTATTTGCTACATTTGAGTCATTCACTCTTTGGTGCTCTGTCTCCTTATTGGTCCGATGGGATGGTTAGCCTCAGTTACTGCCCAAGAACCTGCCTCTCAGTTTTTAAAGCTCCCAGCTCTGATGCAGGCTGGCAGGAATGATGGTAACCACTCCTGGTTGAAAGGAAAGCCAGGGGCAGGATGATAAATGGTTCTCAATCTCCATCTACCTCTGCCCCCAAGGAACCGCTGTGTCATGGTAGCTGGAGGCTTCCTGCCAACAGAACTGAAAAGCCAGTTCAGCTCAGAAGCAGGGCCCAGCTCAGAAGCAGGGTCAGCACATATCTGGTTCCATCCGCAGAAGCTTCTCCAGGGCCCTCAATCTAGACGCTTTCTTCTCTCCCACCCCCTTCCCTTGCCCCTTTGTTCTGGGTGGGTTTTCACAGCTTCTCCATCCACCACCAAAAATAACCCAATCACTTCATGACAGTTTGGGAGCACATGGGCCGTGCTGAGCAGAGAGACCTCCCATTAGTTTAATGAAGGACTATTAAAAACGCATAAAAATCTCACCCAACAATAATAAAGAACGAAGCCAAAGCCAGCATCTTCAACGTATAAAAGGCTGTGTGCAATGTGAGAGTTCCCTGCTAGCATTTGGAAAGATGAATGTGGGCTGCCTGGGGGCTCAAGTCTTTCGTTGGCTTCAATTTTTAAAACTCTCATTGTATGGAGACGTGACTACACATACACACGTGACATTAAGTGGTTTTAAATTAGGACTAGAAGAAAAGACGTACAATTTGCAGAGAGCATAAGAAGGTGCCCTATGGACCGGTCTCCCTGCATTCTTTTGATCTTTGTAATTTTCACCTGACGAAGTAAGGCGAACGTCAGATTAATTTCCATCCTTGGGTGCTCAAATTCCTGAAAAGTAGCTTCTGCTACAAAAGAAATGACTCAAAAGTGACTCAAAGGGGTTATTAATTCACAGGGAAGCTCTGTATTTTTCCTTTTTTTTTTTTTTTTTTGAGATGGCAGGTAAGCCAGCTCTGCTTCTAAGGGGAGAACATTCACAAGTTACAGCCCTCTTGGCTACTGCCCATTGTCAGGACAGACAGGAACCCCAACCATGATTTTCTTCTAAGTTTTTTTTTTTAAATGTGGACCATTTTTAAAGTTTTTATTGCATTTGTTACAATATTGCTCCTGTTGTTTATGTTTTGGGTTTTTGGCTGCAAGGCATGCGGGATCTTAGCTCTCAATGCATACAGGATCTTAGCTCTCCGACCAGGGAATGAACCTGTACCCTCTACAGTAGAAGGAGAAGCCTTAACCACTGGACCACTAGGAAAGGCCCCTGACGACAACTTTTAAAGGCGGAGGGTTACAAGTCAGGAGCCCAAGTCCACACATGGAAATTTCTCTTGACTCTCTCAAGTCACTAGCCAACACAAGCTGCCTCTTTAATCTGAGCTTTTCCCTTTATAGGCAAAGATTAAGCTATTCTTAGCAAAACCTGCCAGCAGCAGATGGTTTTTTTCTTCTTTAAAAACAACAACCAACCATACCATCAAACCAAGAGATCAGCCAGAGCAACCAAGTTCCTCTTCCTGCTCAAGATTACACTGAGGAGAAATGCAGGAATTACAGAATACTTGGCTCCCAGGTAAGACTCTACAATCAGAGTCTGCCCCTGGCTTTCCAAATGTTCATGCCGTCCACTTCCCAGAGAACAAACTAGCACACTGCTCCCAGATTTACAAACAGAAGCGCACCATGACTGCGAGAGGAAATCTAACCACCCAGGAAAGGCTGGGGCCAAGCAGGAAGTGACAAACAAGGCTGCCAATTCACTATTTTCCCCAGAAGTATGAGCACAGAACACAGAACTCATTCTTAGAATGGGATGCAATGATGCTGGCAGTGGCCCTGCGTGAGGACTCCTCCCGTAAGCAGAAATGACAGGGCTGCTTTACCTTCAGAGCACCACAAAGTTCAACTGTGTCTGCGTCATCCACCACTGTGATTCGAAAATTAGGAGTCTGCAGAAGTTCTTTGAAGAGAAGGCCGTTCTCCATGATCTTGCTGCCTATTGAAAGGTTAGGGAAAAAAGGAAATTAACAATGGCCTCTCATCTTAACTTTCGCATCTAACACAATTTAAAATGAGTTTTGGACTTCCCTGGCGGTCCTGTGTTAAGACTCCGGGCACTCAATGCAGGGGGCACAGCTCCATTCCTGCTAGGGGAACTAAGATTCCCCCCTTGCCTTGGGTTTTGCCCCAAATTGAATAAAAAAATTTTTTTTAAGCCAATAAAAAATCTTTTTATAAAGACCTTTTTCACATTACAAAAGTGACATACGTTCCTGATGGGAAAGTTCATAAAGTCACAGGACTAGAAACAGATAGTTAAAATATTCCACAATCCCACCACAGATAAAATCAACAATTTGGCATGTATCTTTAACTTACCAAAATTGAAATATACATAGTTTTTCTCAATTGAGAACATAACATGGATTTCACAGTCAGCTTTCCCCCATTTATGTCAGGAATAATTTTCAGTGATATCCTATATTTTCTACATTACTTTATTAATAAATGGCCGCTTTGTATTTTATCGCATACGCGCATTATATTTTATCTAAGTGTCTTCCTGTTGTTTGAGATCTAAAATTGTTGCAACTTTTTGCTACCATAAACACAGGCTCCCTCCGCAGGAAGTACCTTCCTTCCCACCAATGCTAGGCCTAACCTCAGGACATGCCTGGACTCAGTCGGTGAGACAATTTCCCCACCCTTGGGCTCAGTCACGTGCCTGGCTTTGGTCAAAGGGCAAGTGTTAGCTGCTCAGTCGTGTGGATTCTTTGCAATCCACGGACCTAGCCTGCCAGGCTCCTCTGTTCATGGACTTCTCCAGGTAAGAACACTGAAGTGGGTAGCCATCCCCTTCCCCAGGGGATTTCCCTGACCCAGGGATCGAACCTGAGTCTTCTGCATTGTGGACGGATTCTTTACCACCTGAGCCAGTTACGTGACTGGCTTTGGCTAACGGGACCAGACCTGACACAGCAGAATCTGAAGCCCGTTTGTGCAGCAGGGGGGTTCCCATGTCCATCCGCCTTCACTGTGGGAACACACCCCAGCTGGCCTGCTGGACCCCACGGGAAGAGAAGACAGGAGCACCGCACGGCCTCCCAGCGGACCCACAGATGTGTCTGCTGTGTTTATTTTGGATGCCACTAAGAATTCAGGATTATTTGTTACTTAGCATCACTATGGCAAGAGAGAACTGATACAACATCAACAAACATGTTCAGTGACTCAACTGGTGGAGGATGGAAATGCATTCAAAGGCTCCTTGTATCTACTCCCCATTGGGACCATGCCTGGAATGATGTGGAGGATTGTACTTTTCACATGTTACTTTTCTATTTATAGAGACTTTCAGTTCAAAACAAAACTAAAATTTAACACATAGAGCCTGATGTGAGATCTGCTCTGGTTGGTGGGGTGTGGGGTGGCGCTCAGCTCTGGAAATCAGGACGATAAAATTCGCCAGCTCGGTCCCGGCTCCCACACAGAGCTGGCAGAAAGCTCCCCCGGGGACCATGGCACTTGGGCGCTTCCAGCCTTGAGTTTCCTGAGCCTGTTTCCCAAGTTTGTCTGCACATGACAATCACCGGGAGATCATCCATTAAATCACAAGCTCTGGGGTCAGGCAGGCATCACTAATTTCTGATGCTCTCCTGGTGACTTCAATGGGCAGCCAAGTTTGAAAACCTCTGATGTGATCTCTAACCTCATGAGGTGTGCAAACTGCCCATTAGTTACAACCAGCACTCAAAGGTCTATATAATCACAGTGGGACAGTGGTATTTACATGCCTACGACTGATTTGCCCCACTGACACACAAGAGGCCCCAAAGAGGTTTACTGAGTTGCCCTCGGTCACACAGCTAGTAAGAGGCAGAGCCCAAATTCTAACCCAGGTGCTCTGGCCCCAGGACCTATATGACCTCCATGCTATGTTTTCTATGCTATGTTCCACTCAGGGGCGGGAAGAAAGAAGTAATAAACAGACATTACAATCAGAGCCATAGTCTTCCACTGCAGGGGAAAAAAACAGGATGTTCAACAAAATTATACTCAGAAGTAATATAATATCAAAATGATCCAGGGGAGGCCTTTCCCAGTGGTCCAGTGGTTAAAATTCCACCTTTCCAATGGACGGGGTATGGGTTTGATTCCTGGTTGGGGAACTAAGATCCTGCATGCCAAAAAGTAAAACAAACAAACCAAAAAACAAGTTCAGACAAGAGTAGAGAGAGGGTGGGAAACAGATGAATGAGGCCAGCCAGCAGTTAATCATTACTAAAGAAGGGCCGTGTCGGGTCCTAATACAGTTCTCTCTACTTTTGTTTGGTTTAAGGACATTTTCCATCATAAAATGTTTAGGACAGCTACGCCAGATACTTAGAAACATTTTCTATTCTACAGGCACCGCTATGATGTCATTTAGCTGAATGCTCGTTCGTCCAAATATTACAACTCCCTCTGTGTGAGCAAACTGTCCTCTTCCTTTTATGAACAGTCCTCCAGACGAGCAGCACTGTTTCATCACCTGGGTGGGGTAAACCAGCCCCAGATCCACACCATGATGTAGTTATTGTCTTTCTCTTCTGTCCCTCTCCATGGGCCAGGGCCCTGCAACACGAAGAGGGCTCACGAGCAGCACAGACAGGCCCCCACTCCCTCCACTGAGCTATTGTGATCGAGCCAGCAGCAGCTGTGAGTAACTGGACATGTGGAAGGAGACGAGCGTTCTCCATCTGCCACCGATACAAGGTGGCGTCTGCTGGAGTCTGTGCTGCAAATTACACACAGGGTTCATTAGCGAGGTGAGCTCGATTTAAAGGAGTCTTACATTTTCTCAAACGCACCTTTTATTTGTTTTATTCTTTTCCATTATGGTTTATTATAGGATATTGACTCTAGTTCCCTGTGCTATATAGTAGGACCTTGTTGTTTACCAATTTTAAATAACAGTGTGTATATGCTGATCCCAAACTCCTAATTTATCCCTTCCCCACCCCTTTTCCCTTTGGTAACCATTGTTTTCTATGTCTGTGAGTCTGTTTCCATTTTATAAATAAGGTCACTTGTGTCATATTTTAGACTCTACCTATAAGTGATATCAAATGATATTTCTCTTTCTCTGTGCGACTTACTTCATTTAGAATGATCATCTCTCGGTTCAATCATGTTGCTGCAAATGGCATCAAATGTTTACCCTTTGAATTTTTAAATCTTCCATTATTTTAAGTCTTGGATAAGAAAGCATTGATCGTATTATTATTACCAGTCTTAAGCAGTGATGAGGCAAGAAGGGACCCAGGACATGCGATCCAGAACAGGGAACGCCCATCAGCCATGTGGAAGGGCTTGTCAAACTCAATATGAACCAAAAGACAGGAAAATCCCCCTTCTCTTCCACACCAAATTTTGGAGATAATCAACCTGTTTACATAAGACTCCTTCACATTCCACATCTCAGTCCATAATTCTCTACTTTTGTGTCCTAAGAAGCTCCTTCCACAAAGAAGGGGCTTATGCATCCTGACATTTAGCACCACAACTTATATAGAACAGACTTTGGACAGTATCTGCAGGCTGAGCAGACATCTCAGACACGGTGAAGTCATTCCTGCAAAGGGCGCTCTCACCACCACGGCTCACAGTGCCTGTTTGACCCACAGCCCCAGGTTGGTTTCATGGCAGCCGGGATCCAGCCCAGGATCCTGAACTGCACGTCGTGGCCAGGTCCCTCCAGATTTCTCCTGTAGACCTGCAACGTCTCCTACGACACTGACATTCTTCAAGAGTGTGGGACAGCTGTGGGACTTCCCTGGCGGTCAGGTGGTTAAGACTCTGGGCTTCCAATGCAGGGGGCGAGGATTTGATCCTTGGCTGGGAAACCAAGATCTCATATGTCACATGGTGCTGCTCCCCCCAAAAAGTGGGGGCCACTTGTTTTGTACCATGTCCCTTCCTTTGGCCTTGTCTAATATTTCCTGTTGATTAAGTTCAGGTTATATAAGAAAATTTAGAAAATATCACTTTCCTGTTCTATCTCACTTTTGAGTATTTTATCTAATTTAAATCAGATCACTCTTGCCAGTCATGGTCCAACCCACAGAAGGCAGCAGAAGCAATGCGTAAACAGAAGCCAGAGAAACAGATGTGACTTCTGTGTGTGTGTCTGTCTTTACAAAGTAAAATAGCCTGATGCACCCAAAGGGGAGCGTTCCTATAACAAGGCTAACAGGCAGGTAGAAATCCTAGCCAAAATCTATCAGTTTAAATTTGGAGATGAAGTCTGTCTCAACCCCACAGAATGACTGGGGTTAACTGGTCAACCTCAACCAAATAACTAGCAAACTGACTACAGGCAAATAGGATTAAGCTGGGAAAAGTAGCTAATAATTATTTTTGAAAAATTAAAGTGATTACATAACAGTTTCACAGGCTACATTAAAATCATAGATGAATAAAGATGAAGAACTGAAAAGAATAAAACCTAAGTACAGCCTAGTATACATATGCAATTTTTTTTTTAATGGGAGGATACTTAGGAACTACCAACAATGATTTCCTTTGAGAAGAGGGAGGAGGTCTTAATTCTAATTTCATACTTTCTTGTACTGTTTGAATTTTCTTGCGTGCTAAGTTGCTTCAGTCGTGTCCAACTCTTTTGCAACCTCATAGACTATAACCCGGCAGATGCCTCTGTCCATGGGATTCTCCTGGCAAGAATACTGGAGTGGGTTGCCCTGCCCTCCTCCGGGGGATGTGCCTGGCCCAGGGATGGAATCCATGTCTCCTGAGTCTCCTGCATTGGTAGGCGGGTTATTCACCACTAGTGCCACCTGGGAAGCCCCTGAATTTTCTTAGCTGTGCTTATTGCTTTTATAAATATCAACCTGGGTAATGTTATTATAGGTAATTTTGTTTCCTTCCTTTTATCATTTGTGATACCTCTGCTCTTCAAAATTATTATTTCTCACACACACACACACACACCCACCCCTAAGTGCCCAGATATATGGGACTGTCAATGGAATGCTATGCAGCTGTAAAGATGTATGCTGGTTGAAGTAAATGAAACAATTATCAAAAGAGTATATTAACAACTACAACCACAGTTCATCACAAGTAGAAAAAAATAACGAAAATTAAATGAAACTTGAAATGGTTTTCCTAAATCAGAGAAAGACAAATATCATATGATATCACTTATATATGGAATCTAAAAAAAGAATACAAACTTATTTACAAAACAGAAACAGAGTCACAGATATAGAAAACAAAGCAATGGTGTGTGTGGGAATAAATCAGGCGACTGAGTTGGGCCTAGACACACTATTACATATATAATAGGTAACTGATAAGAACCTATTATATAGCACGAGGAACGTTACTCAATACTCTGTAACGACCTATATGGGAAAAGAATCTAAAGAAGAGTGGATATAAATAAATGATTTACTCTGCTGAACAGTAGAGATTAACACAACATTGTAAATCAATTATACTCAAATAAAAATTAAAAATCAATGTGCTGTGCTAAGTTGCCTCAGTCATGCCCAACTCTTTGTGACCCCATGGACTGTAGCTCACCAGGCTGCTCTGTCCATGGAATTCTCCAGGCAAGAATACTGGAGTGGGTTGCCATGCCCTCCTCCAGGGGATCTTCCCAACCCAAGGATCGAACCCACGTCTCTTACACCTCCTGCATTGGCAGGTGGGTTCTTTACCACTAGCGCCACCTGGGAAGCCCCTAAAATAATCAAGTTTTAAGAAACGGCTTTCTTTTGATTATCTCTATGTCCCATGGTAATCAGGTAATGCCTGTACAATTACAAATAAAAGAGAAAAAAAAAATTAAAAATGTCCTAACTTACATGCATGCATAAAAACCTTTTCCCATCCATCCCATCTTACTCAAGAGAGCCTGATCTCTTCCAGAGCTTCCTTTCATGAAGCTGCCAAGGAGAAATGATTCCCATCACTGGTGCATTTGATAAGAGTGGAAGTAAGTCCTGGAGTGGTAGATAAACTTAAATATACCCTGCAAAGCATTCTATGAGTCCTATAACATGGTATGTGGGCACTTAGGAATTCTGAAGCCCTTTTTTAAAAGAAATAGACATGTTCACAACATTGATGTGTAAGAATAGAAAGGGATTTCTGTTTCAGGAACCAGGAGACCCAAGTTCATGTCTGAATTCTATATTAGCTGTGTGATCTTGGGCAGGGAGCTTACTCTCTGAGCCTCAGCTTATTCCTTTGGAAAGAGGGGATCACTCCCATCAATTTTTAGATCTCTGAGGCATCCAATGAGGCTCCAGATACTGGCATTTATGAGTAAAGAAAAGCTAGGTTTCCCTTGGACTGCATGGAGATCAAACCAGTCAATCATAAAGGAAATCAACCCTGAATATTCATTGGAAGGACTGATGTTGAAGCTCCAAAACTTTGGCTACCTGATGCGAAGAGCCGATTCATTGGAAAAGCTCCTGATTCCGGGAAAGACTGAGGCAAAAGGAGAAGGGGGCAGCAAAGGATGACATGGTTAGATAGCATCACTGACTCAATGGACATGAATTTGAGCAAACTCTAGGAGATATTGGAGGACAGAGGAGCCTGGTGTGCTGCAGTCCAAGGAGTCACACAGTTGTGACATGACTTGCTTTCCCTGACCCCTACATCCTTCATGCAAGGAGGCAGCTGTCTGCAAGCCAAGAAGGGAGCCCTCACCATAGAAAAAGGGTTGGCTCAACCCTGATCTTGAACCAGCCTTCAGAACTGCAAGAAATAAATTCCGGTTGTTTAAATAAAAAGAAAAGCTGGGCTTCTAAGGCCAAGGGCACTCCACCATGGACACAACCATCTGCTTGTTGGTACAAGCAAGCACCCTTGCATTTTTGTGAATAACCTCGATGATACATTACTGGATTGTGGCGGGCCACATGGTCTCCTTGGCTTTACTTTCACTCCAGTGTTTGTAGAAACGCTTCACATGCCCACAGAACAGCCTCCTAACATAAAATTTCCACCCCACTGAATGTCCACCCCAGGAATGTTACGGGAGCAGGGAAGAGTTCACTACAGAAAATTCCAGAAATGGAGTATGTGCCTGTTAAGACACACAGTGCAACGTCCCTCTGCCCAGTGGCCCTCACCGATGGTGGTCTCGCAGAACTTGCCGGCGGCCACCTCGTTGGCAATGTTGGCCCCCATCAGCACGCTGATGTCAATGCCCATCTTCTCTCGGATGATGTCAGAAATGAGCTTCAGCCCCTCAGGACCCTCGTCTATGCCCTGCAAGGACGTCAGTGGGTTAGAGGAAAAGAAACCCCCAAGGCCAAGAGGCTGGAGACCGTTGCTTTACAAGTCATCTAGATTCAGACCTCCAATGGTATAGGCGACTGAAAAATCTCGTTTCTAAGAGTAAACAGACATAGTGTGTATGTACCATTTAGAGAATAACGATAAAGTGAAAATGAACAACGTCACCATCCAGGTTAAGAAACAGAACATGATGGGCACCACTGAAGTCCCCTGGGTCTATTCCCAAGTTCATCCTTCTCCTCATCAGTGTTTCCTGGTGCCCGCCAGGGTGAACCCCTATCCTCAACGTCATTTATGCCCTGTGTCCTTGTTTTTCTTGTTCATTTTATCACATGAAACTACCCCTAAACAGTATGTTATATCACTATGCCTGTTTTTGAAAGCCTATAAATGAAACTGTGCCTCTCACCTGTGATGTGCTGCTTTGTACTATATTATTATTTGGGAGATTCACCCATGTGGCCACATGAATATTCTGGTTCACTCCCGTGTAGTTTCCCATCATTCATTCGTCTATCCTATCGATGACTGACGTTTGAAGTGTGCTTGCTTTCATAAACATTCACCTACAAACACAGTCTCTCAAGAGGGTTCTTAACCTTTTTGACAACACAGACCTGCCCCTGGCAGTCTGGTGAAGTTTATGGATTCATTCTCAGACTCCATATGCATAAAGCAAAATACAAGATTACCCAGCAAGGCAATTAGTTTGAAATACAGTTATCAAATGTTAAAAAAAAAAACAACAAACCTACATTTGTGACAAAGTAATATATATATTTTCTTACTGCAATTATAAAAAGGTGCCATAGCAGGTCTAATTACTATAATTCCCAAGTAGTTGGGAATAAATGATACCTTGAGATATCTGAAGCCGTTGTAAAGTAAAATGAAAATACCTATAATTTGTATCGACCACAGGGTCAAGGTCCTGCTAACAGATTGTCACTGAAACTCTGGGCTGTGGACTACACTCATAAGTGAAGGAGAGGCGCATTTCAGTTAGAGGTTAAAATAAATAAAAATGCAATTCCATCCCCACATTAAGGTCCATGAATCTCTTGAATTCTGTCTGTGGGACTCTGGGGATGGTTTGTTGACTTCCAGTTAAAAACACCCTCTCCAGGGAATAAATCCAGGAGTGGGAAATTAAAGATGATTAACTTCCCAGCGAATGTAAAACACTGAGATTTCCAGGGCGAGGGCGCAGCCCCGTGTGATAGACAGGAAGATCTTTTCCTGGGGGAGCCCAGCACTGGGAACCCCCTCCAGATGGGAAGCAGCCCCTCCAAAACGCGAGTAAAGCGAGACTCACGAGGGGACGCGTGGTTTTGATTCCCTTCCAGATATCCTTAAAAAACAAACCCAAACCAGCCATCCCCTCCCCTCAGCTCCTTTCCCCCAGCAGATGAAAGAGGTTCGCAAGTTCCCCGGAGCCCGCGCGTGGCGAGGGGCCGCCTCACCTTGATGAGGGTGATGCCCAGAGCGTCCTTCGGCACCCTCCCCGTGATCTCGTCGCAGATCCGGTGGATGAACTGGTGGGGGATGACAAACACCAGCAGGTCTGCGTCCTGCACGGCCTCGCCGAGGTTCGCGATAGCCACCTGCCAGGGCGAGGGTGACGCGGTTACTTCCGGCCCGAAACACCCCTGTCCAAGCCACGCGCGCGCTGACCGGGCATCAGCCGCGGCCACGTGCTCGGAGACAGTCGGGTCAGTGCGGGGCTGTGCCACCTCCCCACTCTGCAACCCAGGCCAGCAGCGCCCTCCCCTCCCCCCCGCCGCCGTCCCCCTTTCCTTAAAATGGGGTTGCAACCACCCTGCGCAGTGGCTCTCTGTTGCTCCCCAACCCCCAATCCGCTCCTGCCCTTCTCCGTCCCGGGAGGCTGCGCTCTGGGCGCTGTTTCCCCGGCGCCCTGCCCTCTGCCTTCCAGGTGGTTCCAGCCCAAGGCTGGCAGTGCCAGAAGCTCCAAGGTGCGAGGAGAGACAGGTCAGGGTGTGGACCTGCGCCTGGGGCCACTCCTGCCTGGCTCGCGGTGCTGGCCTGGGCTCCCGTCCAGAGCCCCACATCCTGGCCTGGGCTGCGTCAGCCCCCTCTCACACTCTAAGCCCGGCTCTGTCCCCTTGCCCTTTCAGGGGTGGCCGTGGCTTCCTCCTGCTGCTAATCTCTGGCCACTTCCCTGAGCCCTTCTGGTCCCCTCAACTCTACCTACGCCTGCCAACAGTCCCACACTAAGCGTTTACGTGAGTGCTTTGAGAGCACTGTTGTGAAGCATAAATGACATAGAACAGTCTGTCACTTGACAGGCACTGAATAAACGTCAGCTATCCTGATGGTTTTCCTTCAGAGAAGTACAAAGATGGGTTTTAAAATTTCACATGGGCAGGACTTCCCTGGCGGTCCAGTGGTTAAGACTCTGTGTTCCCAATGCAGGGGACGAGGGCATGGGTTCAATCTCTGGTGGGGAAAATCCCACATGCAGTGTGGCAAAGCCCAGCCCACCCCCACCAGAAAAAAAATTAACATGGGCAGAGAAACACAGGCAGAGGAGACGGCACCGATCGTGGACACGGGGCATATGATCTCTAGCAGAGACTGCCCCTTGTTGCCCAATGTCTGTTCTCCCCTTCTTTCTCAGCAAGAGAACCCCAGCTTGGGGGAAGGCTCATAGCTGCCAGGAAAGAAAGTTACACTTCAAGCTTCCCTTGCAGCCAGGTGTCTTGTGTGATCAAGTTCTGACCAATGGTGTAAATGTGCTTATGGTTTCTGGGAAATGTCCCTGAATTCCTCTTTTGGCCAAAAAATGCTGAAGAGATGGCTGGAGTTTGGGCAGCCATCTTGGACTAAGGAGGAAACCAAATGCTGAGATAGTGGAACAGAGCCCCTGTCACCATGATGAATCGTTAATTATGATAAACGTCCTTTACATAAGAGAAATAAAGTGCAAGTGTTTGCTTAGGTTATTGCTATCTTAGGTTTTTTGTCATATGTATTTGAACCTAACTGTAACTGACATAGTTGCGATTAAACATTCCTGGTTCCCAAAATGCAAGAAATTGGATGTGGGTTCTTCTTTGAGGAAGTGCTATCTGCCACAGGAATGTCATTCAGAATGGATAAGCTCCTAGGAAATCTACTGTGGGAGTTGTGATGGAGGTGCCAACTCCTCGACAAAATTTCTTCTCCCACTTCTCCGTAACTACAGAGCTGCAAGCTGGTCACTGGTCACCTAGCATGCAGGCCTGCATTTCCCAGCAGCCTTGCAGATACGCAAGATCAACGACCAAGTTCCCATCAGTGGAATGAGAGATGGAGCAGTGCATACCACTTAAGACCCAGAGTCCTTCAAACAGGGGCTGCTTCCTCCACACTTTCCCTTCCCCACTTCTGTGCTAGTTGAAAACCCAAGTGGGACCAAGAATAATGGTGTGAAGCAAAGCTGCTGGGCTGCTGTCCTGTGAGAGGGAAATAAATCTTTGTTCTTTACATTCCATTATTGTCTTTTTTTACAGCTTAAGTCTAGTCTCTTAACTAATGCATGTGCAAGAGTTACTACCTCACTCAAAGAATTCCCCAGGAAAATCTACCTGGCATTATTTCACTCGCCCCTTCCTTTGGCTGGTGTGGAAGACCTGTAATTTACCACCTAGCCTCCATTCTCTTTCTTTCTGGCAAAAATGCCTCTAAATTTCATTTCAAAAGCTACTGCTTCACCACTTTAACTATGCAGTTTGGTTGGAAATGCCCGCCCCACCCCCTGCCTGAATGGTCTTTAAGTTATTCAGGTCAATGGACAAATAAAACAATGAGAACCAATGTTTGCTGGGGTTTCTGAGAAACAGTTGCTTCTTTACTCTTCTGCACCAGCTACTGTGTCTTTCCTTGAACAGTATGGAATAATGGTGCAAGGCCTGGAACAGCTGCAGCCATTTTACAAACGTGAGGGGCAGCACCTAGACCTGCCAAGGGGCTCCAGTGTGAATGAAGGCACAGTAGACAAACAGGAAAAAAAAAAAAAAAACAGGGCCTTGTTGATATTACTTAATCCACTGTTTTAGGCTGCACCTGAAACCGGCCCTACCTGAATTTTTAGTCATATGACCCAAAACATCAGCTTAAGCTGACTTGAATGGCAACAAAGAGAGTCTCCCCATAGAATGACTAAGCTTATAACCCGAAGCTTAGCATTTCTCCCTCTTTATTCACACACCCAAGGCTGAGGGAAACTGGCCTTTCTCTTCAGAGGGGCTTTTCTGGTTTGGTAACCTAGGCTAGGTAGTAAAGACTTCCTTGGCATCTGGATATTTCGCCTCCTCCAAAAAAGCAGTTTCTTATTCGAATCCATCAGCCTTGATGCCGAACCACAACTGCTGTCTGCCTCTCGTTGACAAGGCTCATTATGCTCTTACACATTTGCCTGTGGTCCCAACCAGTCTCCGCCCCCCAGCCTTCATTAGAACTCTGACCCCCCCACTCCCCCTGGCGTTACTGGCCTCACTTAGGCAGGGACTTCTGTTCTTGACCCCCTTCTCAGACAGAGCCTGGCAGCCTGGATTTAATGAAAACCTTTCTTCTCTAGACCTATTGTTTTTCCACTTCCTCATCCACCTCCCTGCTCCCCCCCACCCCCCAGAAAACACACACCCTTTCTCTCTTCAGGGCATTTCTTGACCTAGTAAAATGTAAAAGGCACCAGAACCAGAGAAAAGATGGAAAAGATGTACGTCTGGATCCCATGTCAGCAACTGATCGGCCATAGGACCGGCACAGACGACTCCTATTCACTAAGCACAGTCACCCTGGCTACAGAACGGGGATAACAATCACTTTTCTGGGACTTCCCGGTGGTACAGTGGTTAAGAATCTGCTTCCAGTCAGGGGACCTGGGTCTGATCCCTGGTCAGGGAACTGAGATCCCACATGCTGTAGAGCAATTAAAGATCCTTCATGTCTAAACTAAGACCCAACCCTGCCAAGTAAACACTTAAAAAAAAAAAAATCACCTTTCCTGGGGTGAGATGGGGAGGGAGGTGGGAGGTAGGTACAAGAGGGGCGGTTTATATGTATACCTATGGCTGACTCAGGTTGATGTATTGTAGAAACTGTAGCGCAATTATCTTCAATTAAAAATAAAGTTAATTATAAAAAAAACATCGCAATATTATAATTATCCTCCAATTAAAAATAAAATATTTTAAAAAATCACCTTTCCTACCAGCTACTTCACAGACCACTTTCAAACTAATATAGATAATAGCACTCTGCAGTGATATGAAATAAGCGAGAGATTACTTATCAGAAAAATCCACTGGCCTCCTATCAATTCTTAACCTTTAAGGCATCAGCCCATGCTATGTCCCCTGTGATGAAACACTCCCATGCAAGCTGCCAGCTGGCCTGGGATTTCTTCCCATCTTTCCTGTTTCCTTTTTCAACAACCCAAAGTCGACTGCAGCTGGTTGGGGGTGTCGCGGATTTCTGGGACAATACGCCTGGGACTCCCTCAGCACACACAGACGTCCCCCCATTGTCCTTGCCCCAGCGTTAAGGGTTTAACCCACAGAAGCAACATGTGACCCGAGCTGCATTTGTACGGTGCACACGGCCGTCATTCCTGCTACACAGGATCAAAATAAATTGAATACTCTCTTTCAGAATGACAGCTTTAGCTAAGCCTCTATCCTATCTTTCCCCTGAGCCAAATCAGGACACTGCTTTGGAAATGCTGACCTATTTCATGGGCCTCCTGCCAAAATCTTCTTGAGGGTGCCCACCACTGAAGGTTCCCGAAATGCTTTGAGAAAGACTATTCAGGGCAAACGGGCTTGCCTGTCATTGGCCAGGAGGACAGGAAATCCAATTAGAATGAAGGCATCACGGCTGGTCCATCTGATGCCCAGTCTTTCAGGAATCCACGGCTCTTGGTTCATGTTAATAAAAAATTTAAAAAAACACTAATAATAAATAAAATAAAGTCATTTAGAACAGAGCCAATAAGGGCTTCTCTGGTGGTCTGGGGGTTAAGAATTTGCCTGCCAATACCAGGGATATGAGTTTGGTTCTGGGTCTGGGAAGATCTACAGGCCACAGAGCAACTAAGCCCGTGTGCCAGAACTATTGAGTCCACACTGTGGAGCCCGAGGGCCCCAATTACTGAAGCCACATGCCCAGAGCCTGTGCCCTGCAACAGAAGCCCCTGCTCTCCGCAGCTAAGACCCAGCACGACCAAACATAAAAGCAAATAGATAAACCTTGAAGCAGAGCCAGTAAAGTCTATGGGCCAAGCCTGAAGGTTCTTCTCTTTCCCCCTGGGTTAGCTATCACTGTGCAGCCCGTGGGCATCTTGACCCAGTTCCACCACTAGTTAAGTAATTGGGCACCCCAGATAACTCACCTACGTTGTTGAGGGGATGTACATTTAGCTTCAACACAACAGCATGAGTAATGTAGATAGCAAAGTAGAGCTGCCACAGAGCAGAGGCTCAAAAATATTGTGGTTTACTCCTGTTCTCCTACGCTCAGCTTAGGCCAGGAGGAAGTGAGGTTCACATCCTTATGGCGCGCCATCCTTGGCATCAGAAAAATGATCCTCAAGTACAGGCGA